TTTTTTTATATCATAAGCATGACTTGGCCCCTTTAAGAGAGAAAATACCTAACAAAAAAGTAAGGCAGTGCAAAAATCCATTGTCACATTGTTTACATAAACCGCTGCAATATTTCCACCTTTATTGCTCTTTGTTTGTTCTCTTTTAATCACTGTTTAAAGATCATACAATAGCTTTCAAATTAACAGCCATATATTATATTACTCTAATAGGTCATTTAGCTCTGGGCTATTGATTAACCACTGCCTTTAACCTCTTACATTGACATTAAACAAATGAACTATCCCTTTCTGAGAAAGCGGTTTTATTATTGTCAACATTTTTTTTATTCAATAAATCATCTAAGTGAATAATTAAAACTTTATTATTTTGCAAGAGGACTTTAACATAAGACTGCTGGTGGGACATAATATTAACACTTCATTGTAAATAGGTTTAGACTAGCAGAATGGCTCTTTACAAAATACATAACCGTGGTGTGAGGCTAGGAAAGTGCGAACCCGAAAAGCTGCTTTATGATTTAAAAATATCTGCTAGTTAATTAACTGACTAGGCTCCTAGCGTTAGCCTCTTTGAGAGAATCTTCTTCTCCAGACTGAGATGTATCTTCCACTGACTGCCATCACCAAACAATCCATTTCAACAAACAGAAACAATCAACTTTTTTATCATTCTATATTCCTTCATTCATTTTTGTTTCCCGTACTTTGTAAGAGTTGTATTGGAAGAGTTATTTACATGTTTCAGTGTAAACTCCCTCTGGATCCAGTTGGATTCCTTTTCCTCAGACTTTTTGGAGACCGTCAGTTCTCCGTATCGACACTGCTTTCTGTCTTCAGGCCAGTATTGTTCACACTTGGTCTACAATAAGAAAGCACAAACAAATCTGACAATCACCGTGGCTGTTCTCTTCTTGCCACAAGCTCAGAGAAAAACCACATGTCATCTTTTAAGCTAAAGTTAAGTAGAGAAGTTAAAGCTTCACATTTTTTTTCTTCCATTTCAGGTTTACACTTCCTTAAAATATAATTATACAGCATAAAAAAAGAAAAACTTACCCGTCCTGCTTCAATGCAATTGGTAACCATGACAATTCTCCTCACTTTTTGTTCCCAAACCATCCTCCAGAAATCATTGACTGTGGAGGGCAGAGGACCCTGTGTGGCAATGTACTCTTTGTTGCTGTTATAACCCTGAAAAAAATATTAGGTAGACAATTAGGGCCTTTTTTTCATGGCCTACACAGTTCAGGTTTAAAATGACCATTTAGGTCATCTTGTTATTTAATCTGGAAGATCTCTATAAGAGTCACGTCACACCAAGCATTTTGAACTTCTACTTTACGGTCTGAGCCTATTATCACTTAATCAATCTTCTGCTAACATCCTGAGTAACTTTTTACAACCAACAATGCAGAAGCACTAAAGATAAAGTTTTTTTTGACGACTGTCGGTAATATGATAATGATTCAAACAAGGAAACATGTCCAGGAAAATGTAAGCTTATAGACAGAGCAGATAATCATAGGTAAAATGAAGTGTGAAGCCACACCTGTATATGTGACTCAATACCTGGTAAAGAGGGTGTGTAAATACAATAAACAAACAAATATCATATTTGTCTGGTTGATCATTAAAGGATGAAAGAGAGGATTTTATAAGACACTTGAACTGTTTTATGAACAAAGATGCAAAGAGGAGACCATGAGAGCAGGCAGCAGAGAGGAGGAGGGCGACAGCTATAACACTATAAAAAGAGTAAGAGGAAGTTACCAGAAAAGCTCTATAGTTTAAGCCCAGTTTATCACAGTTCAAAGTCTAACACATGGCCTTGTGAAAGAAAAAGCTAAAGCTTTAGCTTTAATTTGAACTTTTACATTGATAACTTTTTATATCATTCAAAATGTTGAATTTCACGCCAAAGCTCTGCACCTTTAAATGTTGATTATTTTATCTAACAGTTTAAATTTAAACTGGAAGATGATTGGTATGTAATGGTGTGTTGGCTTAATGTAAATCAGAAACAGAGCTGAATGATATTTGTTTGATGTGTTTATTACTTTATGACTTTGTATTTATTCTGACAACTTCCTCCTTTGCTGTTTTTTTACTTTTTTATGACTGTGTGCCATGTCAATCTTGGTTTTGCAAAGTTTTTCTGATTAGTGATGGGACATGAGTGGTGTGAACTTTGAGTAAACTGTTTTGATCATCAGAAAATTATCTTCCTCTGATTAGAAAATCAAAAGAACAAGAAAATGGAAAATTAAAAAAGACAGTAACAAACTGATTAATGCATCAGATCGATAAAAGGGAAATTTAAAATCATCACTAGCAGAACTAGGATTCAAGCATCAGTGATCAACATGACTAAAGCTGCTTCCTTTGAGCTAACTCAGTAACAATGCATGAACAAAATTTTTTTTTCAACACCCATAATTTGCATTTAATAGCTTAAAATTTCTACTTGAAGGGGATCTTTGTGCGTTTTGTTTAACAGATTAATTCTTCTATTTGCACACTTGATGCAGTGCTTGCAACTTTGAATCCTAACCTCTGATCTTTTACAAAACTTTATTTTTAAATAAAGATCTTATATGATGGAGCAACACAAAGTACCGTAATGTATCATTCTGGTGGAAGGGAAAAGATCTGACCTCAACATTGTTACAAATAAAAATCATATTTAGCATTATGATAATTGTCATACTTACAGGTAGGTAGTTAGCATTTATGTAGTCTGAAGTAACATTTGAACCGACAAGCTTCACACGACTCCAGTCATCTAGCAAGAGAATGAAAAAAAATATTTAGAAAATAATAAAAATTACCACAAAAGCCTCAGTTTGACTCCATTACTAATAAACCGCATAGACCAACAGGAACATGAAGGACTTACAAGGAAGGATGTTGGTGAATCTGTTCTTCGCTTTATTTTCTGGCACAGTGGCTGCACTGCGAGTTTGGTCAATGCCAACAGAAGCAAGGGACTAAGTGGAAGTGGAAAATAACATCTCATGAAATAAAGCAAGGGCTAAATGATAAAATTTAGCCTTATAAAATGATAGAAATGTAATTAAGAAATGTAAAGGGAGAAATAAATCTTTATGAAGGAATTGGTCACCTCATATTCCTGACTGAAACCTCTGTTTTCATCTAATTCCAGCTGACGGAAGTGGTCTGGGAACTGATCCAAAGGAATGGCTCTGAAACAAAATAGTAGACATGCTGTGTTTAACTCTAATGAGAGGAAAAATTTACTAGAGACTTTATTTACTTTTAAGCATTTTATTTACGACTGACAGTTTATTTGGAGATAAGAAACCTCAGACTCACTTCGCCTTTGAATCTGACTTTTGGGATCCAGAAAGAAAGGATTTCTTTCTTCTATTAAAATAAAAAAAATGGTGCTTAGTTGATTCAATCCCCTCTGTTGTTGAATTTTAATTGCAAAATTCCATTGTAATTCGATGAAAGAGGAATCACCTACCGGATAAAATCTGGTCTTTTACGGACGATAAATATGATCAAACAGATCAGAACAACAAATAGCAGCACACCAACCAATGATCCTGCAATGACTCCTGAAAGGATCAATCCATTAGCTTAGCTAAATAATTCCTTCATGGAGTGAAACCAAAAAAAAAATGTTCTGGAATACTTTAGCTCACCTCTGTTATCAGTTGAACAGAAAAAAACTGATGGTTCAGATCGTCTGATCAAATTTTCTGCCTCCAGCTGTGAAACCAAAGAGACTTCATATCTTGTGGCGGGTTGAAGTCCCTTTACAATGAGTCCAGTTTCAATATCTGTTTCATTTATTGTTAATTTTTTTTTATTTATTGTAACTTCAACAGCCGTCAGCACACCATTGGGTGATTCCATGTTAATCTTAGCACCATAACCAGAGGCCCAGTAGCTACAGTCAGCAGTTACTGAAGGAGGAACTGAGGATGAAAGAATCATAAAGCTTATCAAAATATAAAGTACAAAAAGTTAATAAATTTATCAGAACAACTGAATATATTCAGCTGCAAATTATGCACAAGGGTCCGAAAAGTAGTAGTACTGATAAATTAAAACACGTTCAAATTCAGAACTTTTATGTATATAAAATATGTCAAATACTTCTGTAAACTAAAAATGTGGGCCATAAAAAGATGTTAATATCATCATTTGGAGTTAACCCTTTTCTGTTGTAGAAAATATGTCAAAGAAAGAGTTTTACTTACTGATTGGTATTTTGATGCTACACTGAGGAAGCATTGTGGAGGCCAGGTTATACTCAAGAGAAATCTCATATGTTGCACCAGGATAGAGGCCAGTAAATGACACGTCTTTCCCTTCTGGACTGTCATGCGTTTCAGATTCATTGGAGGCAGTTGCTTTAGAAAACAGGCCTTCAACTGTTCCTTTGATTGATGAATTCGTAACATGCCAGGTTACACTACTACAGTTGATTTCTGAAATTTAAAGGAAAATAATATTTTAAATAGGTTTGATTTTATGCATTTAACAAAACAGTAATAACATACATTACAAACAGACAATGCATTTCTATTACTTTGTTTTCTTTTTTTGCATAAAATCAGATTTTAAAAGTCTTTTGAGGTAGAGGCTGGTTTACTTACTAGTCACTGTGTCAACATGGTAAGGAGTGCTCAGGACTCCAGAGAAGATGGTGGTGATGCTGAATGAATACTTTGTTCCAGGCTTCAGATTAATGACATTATATACAATATTTTCATCCTTTTGATTAATTTCAATATCATTGTCATTAACTGTTAGCTGGTATTTCCATTCTGTATTTTGATTATCCCACTGTAGAGTGACCCTGTCCTCAAAGCGCTCTGTAACAGTGACTGAGGAAACCTCTCTGGGAACTGAGGAAAATAAAACAGAGACATAATTTTTAATTACCTGCTGTGATAAAAATGAAAGGTAAGTTTAGACACTGTATTAGTAAGGAGTTCTGGTTTTCTTGTGCCCTATCAATTAAAAATGATTCTCAATACATAAGAATAAATAAAGTATCTAGCTTTCTTTAGAATCCTTAAGAATAAATGTTAGTATTTGTAAACCTGACCCTGTATTCCTCTGTGGGGATTCCATATAACATAATATCTTACCAGTAGGTAAAGTTATGTGTCCCATTACCTCCTGTATAATCAAACACTCTCCAGGTGTGAGGAAGTGTGTGTAACATTTTTAATTGATGTAACAGTTATTGTCCTTTTATTAAAGGAAACTGTGCACTCCTGGATGTTTTTACTCCTTCCCACTGCAAAGTTATACTGGTCTCAGTCTGTCCAGCTGACTTTAACCCTGCTGGGTTCTCAGTTTTTTGTGAGACCTTTTCGCTACTTTGAAACTTTTTCCTCTGCTCTATCTACATGATCTAAACCTATTATTATAAACAAACAACAGTCCTCTTACCAGTGACTGCAGTGATGATTTTTCCTGTGCTTCTGGTATAACCAAACAAAGTGAAGAGAGTGAAGCTGTATCTAGTGCCACTGGTCAGATCTGGGACTGTGTATTTTCCATTTCCTTCAGAGTGAGTTATATTGACCTCCTTTCCATTGTAGGAAAGGATATAATCGTTGATGTCCCCCACTTTGGTCCACTGCAGAGTTATGCTGGTTTCAGTTTGTGTGGAGTTTTCAAAATTTTCAGTATCAGAAGGAGCTACACAAGAACAAGAAGAAATATTAACACGTTTTACTCGTGAAAACAGGCTAGTTGCATGATTAATAAAATAAGGTTTGCAATGAAATTGGTCTAATTTTACTTTTTGTCTCAAAAACCCCATAAGAAACAAAAAAATACAGTAAAAATCACATTGGTAACAAACTGAATAACATTATTGTCATATCAATTCTATTAATCAAACCAATCATTCTTCTTGAGCAGTTTGAACAGCAAGCAGTAAAACATGTTAAAGAGAACAAAAAAAAAAAAAAATGCAACAAGATAATACAGTTTCTCCACAACTAGAATGGACAACACTTTTACATATGAATCATTTTCACTAGTCTTTTCCCTACTTTGATGGTTATTTGTGTCATACTTCAGCTGTATCTATATTGTATATAATAATATAAACCAATAAAATATTCAAAGAATTAACAGAAAGAGCACCAACTGTAGATGCTATTGTAAATTTATTTTTGCAAGGAGGGTGTCCTTAAGTAATATAAATTGTTTTTGTAATGTTTACAAGTAGAAAATAGGTATTGAATGATCTGAAGAAAGAATTTTGCAAAGAGATTTGAGAAAATATTGCAATAAATGTTTTTCACAGTACATTTTCGGGTTGTATTTCTTATTAAAAAAAAATGTACCTCAGCACTATTATGAACAAACAGACAAAAATCATCTTACCAGTGACAGCAGTGATGCTTTTTCCTGTGCTTCTGGCATAATCAAACACAGTGTAGAGAGTGAAGCTGTATCTAGTGCCACTGGTCAGATCTGGGACTGTGTATTTTCCATTTCCTTCAGAGTGAATTATGCTGACCTCCTTTCCATTGTAGGAAAGGTTATAATTATTGATGTCCCCCACTTTGGTCCACTGCAGAGTTATGCTGGTTTCAGTTTGTGTGATATGTTCAAACTTTTCAGCGTCAGAAGGAGCTACAAGAATGAGATGAAATATAAAAAAATATATATCTATACTGCCCTGGAAAAAATATTAGACCACCCTTGCTTCTTTTTTTCGATGCATTTCATTTAAGTAATGTTGCCTTTAGAACTAGACAATAAAAAAAACAATGAATGTCTAATAATTTTTTCCACTATACAGCACTATACTGCGGTATTTCACTGTACATTTAAACATGTCAGAAGGCTACATGCATAATTATCACATAAAAGTTTACAATAAATCTTCATTTAATTACTATATATTTTTCATATAAAGTGGAAATCTATAAAAAAAAAAGCAAATATGTTAATAAAGGTTGAGTAACTGAGGTAGAGATTTAATGTAGTGAAACTAATCACACTTGCTAGATTTGGGTGAAGCATCTAATAGGACGAGTTAAAAGAAAGAGCCCCAAACATTTATTGATGCCATTGTAAAGTGGTTTGCAATTAGGGCGTCCTTAAGCGATATAAATTATTTTTGTTATGTTTAGAAGTAGAAACAAGGTATAAAATTATCTAAAAACAGAATTTTGCAAAGAGATTTGAGAGAACAATACAATAGATATATTTCACAACACATATTTGAGTTGTCATTTTTTGAGGTTTATTATTATAACTTATTTTTGAACAATCAAAAAATTGTTCAAATTAGAGTATAAATGAATCTGGCAGACTTTGTATAGACTGTGCCTATGGAGCACAATTATGAATAAACAGACAACAATCATCTTACCAGTGACTGCAGTGATGCTTTTTCCTCTGCTTCTGGCATAATCAAACACAGTGTAGAGAGTGAAGCTGTATCTAGTGCCACTGGTCAGATCTGGGACTGTGTATTGTCCATTTCCTTCAGAGTGAGTTATGCTGACCTCCGTTCCATTGTAGGAAAGGGTATAATTGTTGTCTCCCACTTTGGTCCACTGCAGAGTTATGCTGGTTTTAGTTTGGTTGATATGTTCAAACTTTTCAGTATCAGAAGGAGCTACACAAGAATAAGAAGAAATATTAACACAATCACATATTTTATTTTCCTTCCTTCCTTCCTTCCTTCCTTCCTTCCTTACTTACTTACTTACTTACTTAACAATTAAAAGAAAATAGAAAAAACAAGGAGTTAACAGAAAATTTTTTCAACTGAAAGAATAAGTGATATAATTAAACAGTCCTTCAATGTCAGCTAACATTACAGACAACAGATATACGGTACAATATTTAACTACATATCATTCAATTGTTGAACTGACTTTTATTAGTAGAGATCATTCTAAAAATAGAGGATTAAATGTTTGCCTCTGGTTCTGATATTTCTTATCAAATTAAAAGATAGTTTCATCGCACTTAAATATTTGATTTATTGCATTTCATCTTGTAAAAAAATCTTCTACTACTATAAAAATAGCTTTCTCATTTTAAGTGAATTATCTTTGAACCCCACAGTGTTAATGTGTGAAAATATTAATATAAACTTATTTTAAAAATGTGATCAAAACTCTCAATCTCTATAAATCAGGTTGCAAAGAAAATCTTCTGAACATCCTGAGATCCATACAAACTGTCTTATCTTGATTCATATGAGCACTAAAAGATCACCTACCTGTCACAGCAGTGAATGAATATCCAGAGCTGCTGTCTCCATTAGACACAGTATATAGAATAAAACTGTATCTTGTCCCAGCAGTCAGACCAGAGACCACGTGGTTTACTATATCATCAGCAGTGACAGGCACATCTATAGCATCACCATCATTCATCTTCAGTCTGTATGTTGGGATGTTATCAACTTTTTCCCATTCTAAAGTTATACTGTTTTCATTCTGTCTCACCACATTTACTTGTCTTACATCTGCAGGGGGGGCTGTTAAAAAAGCAGATAATGTCATATAAGAAAAAGCATTTTAATTAATGAACTATTATTGTTTTTTCAAAAAAGGAAAGATAAATCTGCAGTTCATACTAACCACGTGTTGTTGGTGCTGTTGTTGTTGTTGTTGGTGTTGTTGTTACCATAGGAGTAGTTTCCACCCTTATTGTCAGTTCTGTCTTATTTGTTGTATCTAGTTCTGACATGTTATTACAGTCCGCTACAATCTGAAACAGGATTAAAACTTCATCATTACACAAACTGTTACTTTTTATGATTAAAAAAACAACACTAAAGAAATTTGTTTATAAAATATTTACTGTTAACTTGCAGATTGTTGGGTCCATATTTAATATCAATGTAATTTCTGCTATACCTTAGCATTTGTTATGTGACATACAGTAGGATAATGTATGTGCAACAGTCCTTAGACATTTTAAGCCCTTAAACATTAAAAAAATACAGAAATCATGAGAGGATGTCAAATTTAAACTTTAATTACGAGATTATTTCGTAATGACTCATATTAACAAATATAAATAACAATCAATAGAAAAATGTGAGCTAGAACTCCTCTGTAAAAAGCAATAAGGAAAGAAAACAAACCTTTTGATGTTATTTCTTAACGTATGTCTTTATTTCTCTTTAAAGCAAGTAGTAATAAATGACATCACCCCTTTGAGATTGATTCATATCTCACAAACTGAGAAAATCCTTTATTTCTAAGTTATAAAATGTTTTTCTTGGTGCTGCTTTCTGTCTGTACTGACTTTTTAAACAGCTTCTCTTTGGACATCAGTACAGCAATGACTATCATGAGCTCGGCCTTAAATGTGGTTTACCTTTGTTTCAGGTTTTGCTTTCTGAGCAAAGCTTTACTATCCGACCATAGTTGACGTTGAAATGAAAAAGTACTTACCCAAAGCAGGCTGAATGAGACACACAGCAACAGGAGGTCCAATTTGAATTTGAACGATAAAAGCTTCATCTTTGTTATTGATTCTTAACCTACATACATGCTATCAACACAAAGACACCTTTCTGCTCTCAGATAAACCTCGACTGTCTGCTTCCAATATGGCCCACCTCATTTGTTGACAAAAATAATAAATATCCTAAGCTTAAGGCTGAATCAGTCCGGCAAAACAAATCCAGTGGTGTTTACTTTTAATTCCTAACCATGTCCTCCTTTTGTAACCTCTGGCCCCTTCTCTTACTCACAAGTGACAAAGTAAGTAACTACTTCTCCTTTTTGAACCTGTATGAAGACAGAGACCTTTGCCCCGCCTGTTACTTCCTTATTAACGGTCATTGTGCAGCTTGTCAAAGGTGCTCTGATCAAGGCACTGTCCCTGTTTTCAATATTTATTAGTGCTGATTGCTTTATATCCTCTTTAACTACCCAGTTCCAGCTTGTGACTAGCTGAGCACTTTTATCTGGTGTAATTAAGGAAAACAGGCTTTTCCTGGATTTTACAAAAATGGATTTTTACTGTACATTTGTCACATATATATTTTCTTTTCATTTTTTTAGCTGATTTTACCAAAGATTTTGACTTCTGTTTTATGTCTGGTCACAGTTTTGGCACGTTGTGATTTTTATGACATCCTTGCGGTAAGGAGCTATAAGGAACTTCAAAATGAAAATATGAGTGAGGAGCAAAAGTCAAACCACGCGTTGTTGAACTCTGCTATCAGCTGGGCTTTATAAAAAGGTTTGACAAGTAAAACATGGTTGTTCAAAGGGGAAACTTATGTAAGGAATTCCATTCCTACAAGTTAATTGTACTAGTTAATTAATAGGTTCAGTACTCATGTTAAATTACAGCATTGAATGACAGGGAAGAAGCTACATGCATAACAATAATGTCATGAAAGGTTTTTGCTGGTTGTTTTGCTCTACTGGTTCCAGTTTCTCAGACTCTCCACCAGAGGGCATCCTGGAGGCTTGTTGCTGGGCTGGATCCTCCTGCTGCACCTCCACTGGTGCAGCTCATCAGATCATTTACCTTCCCAAGCAGTATAAGAGGAGCAGGATGCCAGTCATTTTTTCCCCTGAGTGTTTCCTGTCACTGATAAATTCCAAGCCACTTATTGCCTTACTTATTTCCATTGAGTTTTTGCTTTAGGGATAGTTTAGAGATTTTTCAGAGTAGATTCTCTAAGCATTTGAACTAGGGCTGCAACTAATGATTATTTTGCAAATCAGTTAATCTGTGGATTATTTATTCCATTAATAATCGGATAGCCAAAGTTTGCTTAATGAAGATTTTTTACAAAATTAAACCAGGTTGAAACTAAAACTTTTTCATCTGAGGAGTTCTGAATAGAGCACACATTACATGACAGACAACGGTTTAAAAAAAAATCTTAAATGCAAAATGTTTATGTATATATTTTGTTTTTACAATTTTTGGTATCATTACGGTTCTAAGTTGATCACTGTCAGCTAAAGACACATTTTACAGTCTCTATACTCCAGCTAACAATTAATTAATTACTGAATTATTTGACAAATATTTCAATAATTGATTAATCAGGATTAATCAAATTGTTTCACCCCTAGTCACAATTATCAACATAACAACAGAGGTTTTAGTTTGTTGGTCAATTTCCTCAAACAGAATTATTAATTACAAAGAGGGTGAGAATGATCAGAGCCAGATAATTTGATACACATTATAAAGTATTGCCACAAGTGCAAGTATCATTAGAAAACTCCAAGAATGCAATTTGTGTAAAATTAATAAACCAACTACTAGGAAGAAAAAGGTGAATATTACTAAGCTGGATATTCTGGAAAAGTGGATACTAACTTAAAGTAGAAAAGAAACAGAATGTCTTTAGCACCAATCCACCCCGTGACACCAACACATAAACACAATACATCTCTCTATCTTTGCGAGGGCCTTTCCCTCAACTTTCATTCATTTCTATAGCCTACCTCTGACCCTTATCCTGCACTTAACCTTTACAGGTTCATACCTAACCCTGACGACCTCTGACCCTAAAACAGCAATTCCTCTCGTGTGGACTAGGCATAGAGCTGCTCAGTGGCGTGGAGTTTGCATGTTCTCCCTGAGCATGCGTGGGTACTCTGACCTCCTCCCACAGTCCAAAAACATGACTGTTAGGTTAATTGGCTTCTCTAAATATGTCTCTGAGTTGCCCTGGCGACCTGTCCAGGGTGTACCCCGCCTCTCGCCCGTAGACAGCTGGAGATAGGCACCAGCACCCCTAGTGACCCTCCTTGGGATTAAGCATGTCAGAAAATGGATGGATTGTCTATGCAATGGAGCCTAACAGGAGTAGTCAGTCCCCACAACGTGCTATTTTTCGAGAAAGCTGTCCCAAACAGTGTAACAAATACAAGAAAATACACTATCCTTCTGGGGACTTTCCATTGAATTCCATTCATTTTATATTTCTTGAACATAACCGGCACATATCTAACCCTAAAACTTATCTCAATTCAATTCACACCTTATAGCCTATAAGTCTCCAAAATTCCCAGGGAGTAACAAAAAGATGGGCCACATGCAGACATTTTTTTTTAAAACTTTGAGATAGTAGCAGACAAAATAAGAAGTCATTTCAAGGTTATCCTAATCTAACTGGATGCAAATATTAAGGCTTTGTGTAATCCCAGATAGTTTGAAATTACTTTAAGAGGTTCCACAAATGAATCAATTATTGAATATGAAATTAGGGAAAATAAGCAGGTCTGAAACACAACATCAGGTATGATTGTTTTAAACTTAGGGTTATCTAAAGTTGACAAACAACAGAGAGTAGCATAATTTTACTGTATGACCTACTTGTCAGTGGAACTTTAAAAGAAGTACTATGGCTTTCCTAGGTTTATTTGATCCTTTTTTTTTAACCAGTGAATTAATATAATAATTTTCAGTCTTGAAACAGTGCTGTGTAAACTTTTAACTTTTATTTTTCTATATTGTCGAATGCGGCACTTCAACATTAACATGGATAACAAACTTAGATTTGAACAGATTTATTTTGTCATTTTGTTTATACAAGTGTAAACAAAAATAAATTTAATTCACAACAGCTCTACAGTATATACAATCTCATTCTTCAAAGTGCAGCCTCGACAAGGCAAGCAGCAGTGATAAAAAAATTTAACTTGACATTAAGTCACAATATCTAGTTATGGAATGCGCATCATTCATGTTTGTTTGGCAGCAGTGATGTCAGATGGATCTGTAAAGGATCTTAGCATCCAAATGGGATTTTTATCCCGGTGGGAGAGGATCTGATGCTGGAGCATCAGAGGCCTGTTGCCTGGGTTTTACCATCAGTTGTTGTTGAGCTGCTACTATTGCCTCCAACTCCTGAAGCACTCGCCTCTCCTGGCTCATGGGAAGAAACATGTTATGACACGAAAATAAATTGTATGAGAGTGGGTGAATACAAAACACATACCGTAGATAGATCTATCTTTTACACATATAGAAGATAGATCTGTCAATTTGAATTACAATTAAAAACCAAATTTAAATTGAAACATATTTGACATTTCTAGAAAAAAGCTACCCTTTCCCCTACAACCGTAAACACACAAATCTTTCTCAAGAGCTTTTCCTTAGATATATATATATATCTTTATACCATTACCCCTCTTACTGTCTCAGACAGTGTTTCCCAGTGATCTATAATGGTCACTAGATGTATATTGCACAAAACTTCAACTTACAAAACATTTGCATTATATTTTAGTCTCTACACAAGTTTAAGTTTATATTTCAAACTTGTTTGACTTTATTGATGACAGTAAATAACCACAGGCATTGTTCTTTTATATCAGACAAAAGTTTTAATTCCAGTAAAAGGCGATGGGTTTTTGTGTTATTTTAGCCTTGGATATGCTGACATTTATTCCTGCTTTTTGTTAATTTCTATGTACAGTTGAGTAATTAAGAGAGTGAAATAATTTTACTCTGAAATGAGAATGCATAATTAATTTTGAGTCAATGGCTCCTTATTTTATTACATTTACATTTTATTATGCCCTTTGCCTCACTGAGTTTTGCTTTAAAGGAAAAGTGTGGTCAGTAATGAATGATCAATGGATCATTATCTATAGCTAAAACTAACACGCTTGCAGTGATTTAAATAAATTAAGCATTAATCAGTACAAAATTTAAATAAAAACAACAATTTTCACTGAGTCTGGGACCAGCCATTTTTGCCCAAATATAGTTATACCTCACTCCTGACATCTTCCAGCAGTGACGTCTAGTGCGGTAAGCCTAGCGCCAGTCTCCCCACTTCACAAGCAAAATCAATGGGAGCTACTAAACATGTCTGCAATCAACAACAATTACTTAATATTTTGAGAGGACTTCACCTTTTAAATTTGTGAGAGCTATAGTTAGTTAAACTGACAATGCCCAAGTGGAAGGCAGTTGGATGTTTTAAAACATCGGGAAAAAGTGAAAAAGAATTAGTTATTTCACCTTTACACGGATGTCTCCGGTAAAGCACATTCAAATTAAATTACTCTCAATTAAAAACACTTATCATTTATTGAACAATATGTAATACTTTCATTTATAAAGTACTTTCAGATGTTTGAATTCTGAATATGACCAGACTTTTGTTTTAATGGCTGTGGTATAAATATGGGGATATTAAATTCATATATTTAGTTTAAAATTAAAATTGATATAATAAAATTCAAGTATTTTTCTGCATATCTGAAGTACTTTTCCTTTATGTGCTCTATAGAGTAAAGACCCAATAAAAAAACAAGAGAATATAAAGTCAAATCTAAGAAAAAAGGCCTTTTTGTGCTGCATAGGTAGCCTACAAGGACAAACTGGGTAAACAAATGTAAAGTTTGGTATATTACTATCCCATATTGATGCAAGAAAAAGTAGACTATGAACTGGATTTATTGCAGAACTGAAATTATTTTTGTGTTAAGGAAGCTCTTGAAGTGGGATGGTGTTTTCGTATATCAAGTCGTCATCATTTTCATAAATGTGTTCTTCTTGGGTCACATGTGGTTGAAGGCTGTCCAGGATGCACTGGTGCAGGAAAACATACTGGGACTGTGAAGATATTTAAAAAGAGCCAATATTTAAAACAGAATGTGCTAATTTAGTCACTGATTGAAAGTTGCTCATAAGTAGAAGAGCTATTTACAAAACTTATTAGGGCAGGACAATAAACATTTCCAATATAATCACAACTTACATATGTGTAATTTCCAAATCACAGAAGCACCAGACTTTTTATGAAGTGAACGTTTTGGCAGAAAAATCACTCCATAATCAGTGGGGAAGAGAAAGTTCTGGCTAGCTTAGGTCCATGCATGCAAGCAAGTAGTCTTATTACACTGAGTCAACTCTGAACAAGACAGCATTCAAAGCTATGAAAACAAGGCGAGGGAGGCTCATTTACACAGCACATTTCATTGCCGTGCATGAGAAAAAAAAGAAATGTTAATTGCAATGTTAATTGGACACTAATGAATTAAAGTGACAAAAAACTAAAAGCAGATAATTATATACAAAACAAGATTAAATTATTTTTATTAAATTATTAATAAATGAAAATCAGAATTTTGGTTGAAAGAAATCTCAATACTGGTTTCTCGTTAAATTTCAGCCCCTAACAGTTGAAAAGTCTGTTTTCCTGGCAAAACAATTGGCATGCTTCAGCATAAAAACCGGCTCACCTCTGTCTGCACCATGTGTGGTCGATGTTCTCTCATTTTGTGTAAAAAGGCCTTGATGTTGACTGCTTGTTCTCTCACCACCTGCTGAAGCAGTACGTCCAGGGCGATGAAAGTACCAGTCCTTCCTACTCCGTCACTGCAAAGACAGAATGCAGCTTTTGTTTGCATCTACAAAATGACAATAAAGTGTGTCCAAGTCTAAATTATATTGCCTTCACTGATTCTTTTATGCTTTTTGTGGGATTCAGGACAAGGTAATGCCACAAATCTGGAGGTATGAGTTGGATAATGAGATAAATATTTATCTTTTGCCTTAAAAATAAAACTAAATGAACTGTTACTGAGTGAAAACGGTTATGAACATTTGCTCACTTTTAAAATGTACCTATTAAAAAACATTTTGTAAGTTTTTAAGGAAAAAATATCTTTAAAATAGACTTTTTTTTTTACATTTATGAATAAACATTGTTTGATAAGCAGCTTCAGTAGATCAGCATAGATGCATCAATAAGCCTGTATCATGTTTCCTTGCATTTACTTCAATTTGGAAGTTCCCACGCTGTTCTGGAGATGTTTTTAAGCGCTTCCATGTTAAATGGATAAAATTTAGCAAACAATGGAAGCATTATATTTAAAATGTATTTTGTGGATACTCAGAACTGAACAGCATCCATCCTCAAGTCAGATACCAATAACAACTTTGTGTAAGGAAAAAAAAAAAGTAAAAAGGAAACCTTGTCAACTTTAAGCAGGAGCTATGAGAATTAGCAAAAGAGTGCTGCAGTTTTGTTTTTTGGCCAAAGGTGGCAGTAATATTAGAAAACCACAGTAATGGAGAGTAAAGCATAGCATTTTTAAGATAATCTGGGATTTAATGCTAATGAAATGGTTACATTTCTGTGTATAAGTTTTTCCAACTCCTTTTTTCTTTTACATGATGTTGCCATCAGTTTGTGGGTGATCACTTTAACCATGACCAGCAGAATCTAATAATATCAGACACATAGAACATATATTAGAACAGCCCCTATGATGGATGTAAACTTCTCTCCAAGATACTCATTCCTCTTTTGTGTACCTGCAGTGAACCACAGTTGGTCCCTCAGACCTGTCTTTCTCTATGTGCCATCTAATGATTCCTCTGAACCGGATCAGGGCCTCTGTGCTTTGTGGAACTCCACGATCAGGCCAGACAGTAAAGTGGAAATGCTTGACTGTTGTTTCCACTGAGCTGCTCCTCTGCATAAAAAAAAAGGAAAAATATTTTGTAAAACATCTAGCTTCACAGAAACACTAAAAATAAAATAGATTAGACAAATATTTAAGAATAGCATTTCCAAATAATAATAACCAAATCAATATTCATTTAGGGGTTGCAAAAGTTTCTGCCACAACATCCCCAAAAGGTTCTCGGTCAGATG